TGGTTTTATTACAAAGTGCTGCCTTATGGTGGATGATGTGGAGAGGCAGGAAGGAATTCATGTTTTCTTAGTAAAAAGAAAAAAACATTTTTTTTAATGCTAATTTATTTCAGACATAAATATTTAAAATCTTGAGCCTTGCTAATTATTTAAGGGGACTCTAAAAATATAGTAAATACCCTGTTAATACCCTTTTATTTATGTTGCATGTGTTGAGTTTTAAGAAATTTTAAGAATAAACAGTCTTAAAAATTTTTTTTTTGAAAAGACCATAAATCTCAATACTTAATCATATGTACTCATTTAAATAGCCAAACACTTTTAATATGGCTTCAAGTTAAACTCAAGGCTTGCAGGGAAAATACGGCCTGAAAATCACTTCACACTCACACATCTAGTTGCTCTGCAGAACCAAGTGCACACAGCAAACTAAACAGAGAGACACAATGACACCTCATATGCAAACTGACAAGCCAGCGAAAAACAAAATGTGGGATTTATTTTTATTTTTATTTTTTAAAGTTGATGCTGCAGGCAGATAATTTTACCCGAGCAACCTCCAGAGCTAGAAGATTAAGTTAAAGTGCCTAAAAATTTAGCTCTTTAATTGGTCAATTCCCACAGGTTCCAGTGTTAAAATGTTCAGCAGCATTAAAAACCATATTTATAGCCTGGTACAAAAATGTTTGGGGGTTTTTGCGGTGTGTGACTGCTTTGGGTGAGAGGTGTTGACAGGCAACTGGAGCTGGTCAGTGACTGCTAGGTGCTTAGAAGTTTAGGCTCCAGTTTTGATGAATAAAATTCTGGTATTTTTTCAGACCATCACCTGGCACCAGTTACCAGGTATCTGTTTCTGTTCACTGCACCCATACAAGTTTTTGCAGCTTGCTAACAAATCTATACGGCATTAGCTCATAACTTAGCGCTGCATCCTCTCTCCACATATGGTAACTTCTGGCTGCAAAAACCAAAATAGGAGCAGCCAAAACACTAACAATGAATCTTCAAAATGCAGAGTCCAGGACCGCTGGATGATGTCATGGTGGCTACATCTACCATTTCTACACATGTGACACACTGAATTAACTACAGCTTTACTGAGTGTAAAGAATGACATTTGTTTACCACGACATAATTTCTGCTTACAAATAACATTTGTGATGTCATTTTGACAGCAAGAAATACAGTCATAGACAGAGAACTAAGGCTTCATAAAGTTGCTGAACTGAAAAATGACAAAATTTATGTTACTTTTGATTGCAAAGGTATAGAACATGCATAAATAAGCTAACCTAACAAGATCATTGGAAAAGAAATAACACTAAAGTACATACAGCATTACCTGAGATAGCTGACGCGCTATCAGCCTCGCCTCATTTCCATATTAAGATGAGGTCAAAAAGTGCATTGGAGCAAATGAATTGTGACTGTGGCACTTTCAGTGGCTGTAAAATGTATATGGTTTCAACTTCTAACAGTCTAAACATGTTTTCACTCATCAAAATTGAATTTATATTGTGTTCCCCATTTATAAAAGCAATAGAAATGTTTATGAGAAGAGAAGAGAAGAGAAGAGAAGAGAAGAGAAGAGAAGAGAAGAGTAGAGTAGAGTAGAGTTGAGTTTCCACTCAGAGGAGGAATCTGAGTCAGCAGCTGTCAGCAATGTTGCAGCCATTGAGGAAGCCTTTCAAGATGAAAGCAGAAACATTACAGGCAAAGCAAGGGCAGAGAAATACCGGCCTTATACTTATACTTATAATGCACATTGTCAATGTTTATCAACACAATGACAGCCATTCACATGTGGTACAGTGCAATGTAAAACTACATCTGAAACAACGATATGTGTCATGCGCATGCAGAAACAGGAGCGCAACGGGCATCTATTGATAGGCCGAGTGCTGCAGGAGCAGGCAGCCTTTTTAAATCCACTCTGATGCTAATTCATGGGATTACAGGAGTCTGTGACAGGAGCTGGCAAAAGCTAGGCACTATAGGCTAATCCCAGATATCAATCTAATCCAGAGGATGGACAAACAGCCAGGGCATAATGAGACTAGCTTGGCTGGGCATGAGCGAGCAATGTCTGAAAGTAGTCTGATGCCGAGGGCTCAGTAGCTGGCATGGGCATGCAGCTGCAAGCAAGACAGGAAAAGCTGAGTTAGCTGAAATAATAATTACAAAAAATGCAAACTGATTAACAGGATTCGTGTTTATCCTCCCTTGAAGAAACAGTGTTTGTGTTAGGAGTGTTCTAAAAATGTAAAAGCACTTGGCGCATGTTCAACTTCAAAACAGATGATATGCCCTGATTGCAGCAGCTTTTAAAAACTGCCATTAAGATGCATTAAGAGTTACGCCCTCGTGTTGCCTACTACAATATCATCACCATAGCAGAAGCAATGCATATAAGCCCGTCCTAATAAGATAGATAACCATTTCCTGAAGAAAAGGGCCATCATTAGATTTTCATCCAGTCAACAATGATGTTCTTGGAAGTCAAAAACAGTCAAATCCAATTTAGTCTGGAGTTTGACGGGCTGCACTTCTTTTCTAAAGCCATCTAAGGGCAGAAATGCGCAGTGCTTGGTTAAATTATATGGGCACAATCTAGCGGGAAAGGATATTGAAATACATAGGAGTTAACAAGCAGAACAACAATACTGTATTGGTTCTATCTTCCTCTACTGTGAATGTTAAAGTGTTGCTGTCAGTGTCTGGTGAGTACAATGAAAGTCATATTTTTTTTTTAAAGATTTTTAGCCTTTAATGTTACAATCCAAAATGTTTCACGTTGATTACATTTTTGCAGTGTAATACCACCTCTTGTATGATTTGGTATCTCTTCAAGGGTAACTACTTTCAAAGAAACATGAATTCCTTGTCAAACTGTAATCGCCTAACATAGAAATTTTTTTTTTTACTTGTGTGAATATCAGTTTTATGCATTCCAAGTCTGGCTTTAAAATGAGTAATGCTATTAGAAAGACCTAATTACAACTGGTGGATTAGCAATAGGTGCATCTAAACAGGAAATATAAAAATTTAAAAAGCAAATTTCAACTAAATTTGTATAAATACACTCACTTTTAAAATACGAACCCCCTGATGTCTCTATTTTTGGGGGGAAATTACAAAAAGTACATTTAAAGATCTTAGAGGTAACAGGAAATACATCAGACTAATTTAGCTTGCTTTTTGTTCATGATGCAATCATAATCTAATGATCTGGGCTGTGGTAAAAACATTGTCCCTTTTTTGTTTGTCACTTTAATGACAAAACATCAGGACATGCACAACACCTTGGTTTGAGGGAACTGCTACAACTCTTGCCTAATGCTAATCTTATACACAAGACACTCTCTTGTGTATAAGATTAACAGTTTATGTTTATAACCCCTGTTAATGCAATTCTTGTAATCATCTTTAGGACCCTGCCATAGCGTTTATTTCTCCATGTTGATGAGATAACTGTCCTATTTCACATCTCTCACTTGGTGCTGCAGAGCACTTGTAGCTGTGTGCCAACTGCTGCGCTAAAGGGATTTCAGAAGAGGAATATAACCATGGCTACCTCTCCCACATGGCTGCTGGGCAGGAAAACAACTTTGATTTTTTTTACTGTACAACACTGACACGACAAGCCAAGCAATCTGTCACATCACAACACCAAGAAACTGATGATTTTAATTGCCACAGGCCTGCTGATCTATCTCTGAAACTAATGAACAAACTCTAGGCACGGAAAGAATGGAGAGCGGTCTGACAACGACTGTAAGACAAAGCCTGTCTTTTATATTCAGACAGTCACAGAAGTGCCTTGGGATCGCCCATATGACTTGCCAAACAACATCCTGCAGTCAGTAATCCACAATGAGGCTCCTTCAGTGGGGATGACTTCAGATTTCAGACAAGCTACTGAAATGATTGTTCATGCCAGGCGTTTGTGGTGGCAGCTAATGTGTATAGCAGCTGTGACCAGGCATTTAAAGCTGTCACCCAGCCCCGAAGACAAAAACACGGCGGAGCAGGCAAGTTACCTCCCAAGACAAGGCTTTGACTCACCAGCTGTCCTCGTCTTCGTTTAGACAGTCCATGTCTTCCAGATCTAAGATTTCCACTTCATCTAGAATTGAGGTTTCCCCTTCATCCGTGAAGCCCCTGCTAGTGTCTGAATAAAATGAGTTCATACTCGATAAAGAGGTGGCAGCAGATGCCCCCTCACCCTCATACGCCCTCCTGAAACTGATGCCGTCATAAGAAAGTCTGGGGTTTAAACAGCGGTTGTTCTCCAACAGCCCACCGTAGCCGCCCGTTCCAGCGAACCCCACCCCAGGGAAGCCGGCCAGACCGGCTGCCATCCCTGCTGACAGGGACGACGAGTCGTATCCGGCGCTCACGGGTCTGTGGATCCCTGACATCGGTCCGGACGAAGACAACATCGTAGACCTGCTCCGGAGCTGCTCGTTTTGTTGTTCGAGTTTCTTCACCAAGTCCTGGAGCTTCCGCACCTCCAAGTCCGCGTTGATATTAGAGTTGATATCCTCCATAGTGGCTCCTCTCAGCCCTACGAAAATATGCGGTGGTCAGGGGTATTTTTAGGCGTTTCTTTGCCGAGAGTCCCTTTGTTTTTGTTTACTTCACTGCTATATGGGTGTTCAAAGAAGACACTTTGGTGTTCAACCGACTTGAAAAGCTCAGCGTCGTCATCTTCTCCGGTTATTCGTGCTCACGGGTAGGGTTGAGGCCATTTTCATAATACTCGTCACCAACTGTGAAAGACCAACAGGCGGCGGAGAACACACGTCACCACGTTCCATATCGGGAGCGACCACGTAACCAACACCTATTTGCGCGTGCACATATAACTACACCGTTATAGATATGGATCGAAAATTTGGCTACAGAAACCACATTGTAACATATGAATGAACTCCTAAACGCAGGATTTTGAATGTTTATTTGTGATTTACTACATATTTACAACTAACCGCCTGGGTACAGTCTTATACATTTATAACTACTGGGATACAGAGTTCAAATATCTAATAATTCTGAAAAAAAAAATTAACTTGCTGATCAGATGTAGATCGCTTTGTAGGCCTGCTGCTTCTGTTACCCTCCAATTATGGAGTATCCTCAGATTTTTTTAAGGACATGCTGCACACTATGCCAAGATAAATTTACATTTTATGCTCGTTAAACAGTCTTTTTTTTTTTTTTTTTGCCTTTTTCACAGTATCAGTTAATAAATGGGAACAGATTAAATGCTTGGACATTGGCTGCTTTTTCATTCAAAGAAAAAGGCCTTCAGAACTTTTGCTCAATTTGTAAATTACTAAAAATCAAAAAATTACAAGGTCTTACAAGGGATTGTTAAAGACTTTTACATAGCAGTGTAAAATTAAATACTAGCCTTCATCTTCTGATAATCTGATGACAAAACTTTTAAAGTATTATTATTAAGGTATAATTGAGAACTTTATGTAAAAAAAGGATCCAAATATTTTTAAATAATGCTCGCTGTGGGACCCCATTAAAAAATACTAGTCAAGATAAAGCAAACATGAGAATGTAGCTTTATTTTTACATCTTCATTTATTTATTTATTTATTTTTTACAAATGCTGTGAAAAACTACAACAATAACAGCAAAATGTAAGTAACAAAAAAGAAAGCTGTAGATTAATTTATTGGAGATAGCTTCTCAGCTATCCAGGGCCTCTTCTGATTCCAGGTGCTCCTTAGATTTTTGAAAAACACCTTCTCCCTCTTCCTGCTCTCCAGCCCCACCTTCAGCCTCCAAATTCTCCTCCTCTCCTTGTCCCTGGCTGCTCATGGTAGCTTCCAGTCCTTCCTGATCAGCACTGGCATTTTGTGAGTCAGCTCCCTCCTCATCCTCATCTTCCACATCCATCTCAAAAACACGTATGTGCCTCAGATTGGTACTTAGCTGTCGGGAAAGAAAAAGTAAATGTTTGGCCACAGTCCACAATATTCATTCACTGGAATTCCCCCACTGCCGGAGAAACATGAGAAGACTGAAAATGGCTTAAACGACATTAGACTGATCACTGAAAAACACAGCAGTGCAGATGACTCATGATATCGTGAAACAAAATCCACATAAACTAAATATAATGTGAATTCTTACCACACAGGCCACTTTGCGGATTCCATTAACAGCTACAAACTGGGCTTTCATGTTTTCCAGTTCACGCCACTGATTACCCAACACCAGGCCTTGGGACGGGATGGAACTGCTCTGTTGGTCCAGCCTGTAAATATATGCCAAGGTTAGATGTGCACTTTAAAGTTAAAGTTTTAGCTTTACAACATGTCATAAACCAACTACATTTACATTTAAGTACTTCCAAAAGATTTAATAAAATAGTACTTAATAATCTGTGAATATGCGAGTAGTTTATAAGTGATATAATATATGTATACACTTTTGAGGTTCAGCACCTTAAAATTGGTGGTTTAATTAGATAAACACAACAAACATGGTTGTGACTACCAGCAATGCTATGTCATTGGTTATGGTTTGAGAGCAATGTGATTATCAAGGTTATCAAACTATGAGCACTGGACAATTTTCGGGGCGTGGGGAGAATTTTTGTTTATGAGTCATTCATAGATTCGTGGCGTTACAGGTACGGCAACTTCGACAAGTGTCCTGACAAGAAAACAGCAGGAGCTGATCAGTGTCTCACATGCCTCAGCTCTGCTTTGTTGGTCAAGAAACTGGACCGCTTCACTATGTGTGTACTTGTTGGTAATTTTTAGAGCATTTTCATGGGTTATCTTAATAATATCGTGGCTTGTTATGTGCTATAGACCAAGAAGTTTGTTCAGTGCTTCAGTTTTGGTGTGTGAAAATATGTAATCTAAAAATTGATTTAATAAAAGTAAAACAATGGAAGGCTGTCCAGGCAATGTTCAAAAAGGAATGTTGGTACTACTTTTGTAGAGCAAACAGTAACAAAATTACAAATCCACTTATTCCTTACTTCAAATAAAAGTAGGGTGTTTTATATTTGAGGTGGGCCGTTCAAGTTCTAATTTGGGATGCAAGAAAAAGGTAATCAACCTACAGACTGCACCTGGATGGGACTCGCTGGTGTTCCTAGAGTGTTTGCGTTGGTGATGTATGTGTCATGTACCTGTGTATCTGCATTTTTTTTTTAAATATCAGAAAAAGATTTATAATTATTAAATGAAGATAAATCAAAAAAATTCGTAAACACAAACCTCAGGTTTGGCTCCCAGTTGAATTCTGTCTCGCAGCTTAAGCTGGAAGAAATTGGAATTTGAGCAAGGACACGCATGGCGTTGAGTTCTTCAGATCCTTGTAAGACCACAGTTAGCATTTCATCGTCATAAAAACGAGCATCCAGGTAGCTGTAAAAATAATGAGACCTGACCAAAAAAAAAAAAAAAAAAACACACCTTAAAATCTTTTGGCCTTGCATAAACACCTTTCACATAAACACATTTCTTTGCGTTTATATCTGTTAATACAGTAAAGGAACAACATAAACGTGACTCACTGGTCTGCAGCATTTCCATCATCCCCACTGTCAAGGTGATGGGTGAGATTAATCGACATGACGCTGTTTGGGATAGGTCTGCAAAAGTATAAAACAAATGAGGTTAGAAATGAAAAGCAAATATCTAAAAAGTACTTACTGAATTACAGAAATGTACCTGTTTGGGTCAGTTCCTCTGCGTAACAGGTAGAGTTTGTGGGGTGAAATCTCTGGCATGCAAAACACAACATAATGCATTTTGGCCTTTTTGTCATTCCACCTATAGGTTGACAAATGAATAACATTAATTAAAACCCCATCTTGCTTTTACAGATTAAAAAAAACAAAAAAAAAACTGCATGATGTTTGTGTTTTACATACAAAGATGGAAGTTCAAAAAGCCGAGGAGTGTTTTCGGAGCTAAAAAACAGGTAAATACAAATTTAGTCTCAGTGTATGGCTTATATTTAAAATACAACAGATTTTACACATAAGATTATACCTCTCTGGCACGTTGTACAAGGGCAAAAAGATGGCTTGTTTTACCGACTTTCCAATTACTTCCTACACACAAAGAAACAAAACAATTAAGAGGAGAGAGGACACAACATTGCCAGCCAGCCTTATATTTTGAATGACTGCAGAAATCTACAGTGCACAAAACTTACTGCGGGTTTCTGTAGACAATCCTCAATCACATTCTCCATCATCCTCTTGACAAAGTGCAAAGACTTTTGGGGATATGAAGGAAACAGCAAAGGGCTCCCTAAATAAACCAATGAAACATTTAATCAGGTAACTAACAGGTATTTTGAGTACAATCAACATTTAAGTAGTTTCACGCAAAACAAAAAATTTAACCCAACTCCGAAACGCACAAAGGTGATAATTCACCTTTCAGGTGTGTGCTGTCCTGTAAAAACTTCAACCACTGGTTCCCCTTTGTGTTGGGTGGAGACACAAGGTCCTCATCTTCGTCCTTCAGGTACTGTAAATGTTATTAGGAAAGACAAACCACTATACGGTCAAGCAGGAGTTCCATTAAAAACAAACAAATAAACAAACAAAAAAAGACCAGCTAAAGATAAACAGTACAAAACCATTTACCTGTCCAACTCGTTCTACGTTGAAGTACTTCCCTTTACGACCGAAGAGTTCCTCATTCTGTTAAACCACATTAAATTAAAAAGTTTAAAAAGTCTTTAAACTTATTAGCATGTTTCTGAAATTATGCTGAGCTCACCTCACTAAAATGCTCAGACAAGAAGTCAGCAACAAAGGCAATGTCCTTCTGAGTCATCTAAGGAGTTAAACAACATGTTTAGATAAATAATGGATGTTAAAATAATCCCATGAACACTTAAATCAAAATAACATTATTTCTAACATTATTTTCCTTATGTCAATTTGTGCAATTCATTTGCTGGGATGTAGATTACCATACATTGAACAGGAGGAACGGTTTGTTAACTGCTTCTAGTAAACATTTAATAAATAAAAAAATAAAGCTCACCTTATTGAGTTCTGGTGGCACATGCTCCTCACACATTCTGAGCATTGCTGTGGGAAAGCAAAAAGTGTGTGAGCATATAAACAGTAATTTCAAATCTATAAATAAGACCATACATGCACAATAATTATTTTAAATGTTTCAAGATCAACAATTCTTTTTTTCTTTTTTCTTTTTTTTATTTCTTACCTACATACAGCCAACGGAAAAAGGCCTTAAAGTTTTTCATACTCTTGTCAATCACCCTAAATGGCAAAAAAAGTTATTATACTTGAAAACAGAAGCACTAATTCTAAAAAACATGTACATTACTCAATTACGGTCCTGAACTTACTGCAGAAGTTCATTTGCTTTCAGGGAAAAGGATCCAACTGCTGTGATAGCGCCTAAAATAAAATAAAATACACACATGTGACTACTGACATAAAAAACCTGTTTTAAATCATTGTGCATGTCCTGAAATGCACCTTCTATAGCTGCTGCATCCAAGCCGAGGGGCTCAAACTTTTGTTTCCACAGGGCCATTCCTTTCACCTCACTGAGGTGATATAACAGAGCCTCTGAGCCACTGCAGCCAGCAAAAGAGAGCGACAGATTTAAAATGACAACCAGTCAAAGGGTAGGGCAGCCATGATGAAAAGTAAAAGACAAAATACCTCTGCAGGTGGCTTATTACTAGCTTCTGGATGCTGGAATAGGAAGACTCAATGGACTGTCCAAGCTTCTTCAATCCCTGTAATAGAAATTAATTTTAAATAAAAAATCATTTTCAAC